ACCTACGTGTCCAGCAAAAACCTGGAACTCAAACAGGACAAACTCAATAGCAGCGCAGTTCTGGGTCCAAACTTTATGGCCATCCTCTTCCTAATAAGTTGAATCTCTTCCCGGTCCGAATACATCCAAGCTTTGAGCAAGCTCAGCTTCTGCTCTGGCTCTTGAGCCAAACTTTGCAGATTCAGTGTCTCTCCTTTCTCCTGCTTTGCTCTGGACCCGTGTCAGCACTCGGTAGAAGATTCGGGCCCAGCAGCCGTGCTCTCCTCATCCTCCCCAAAGATTTTCCTGTCCCACATCAGAGTGGCACCACTCGTGCTGGGTGCACCTGGCCTGGTGGGAAGGCTCCCGGCACGCCAGGGCTGCACGGCACGGTATGGTGGGACAGCTGGGTTTCAGTGATGCAATTAATGGGACTTGCTCTGAAATTATAATTAGCACCTTAGTGCCTGTTAAGTGCAGGCCATGACTGTGTGTTACAGGTGTCATTGGTGTGAGCAACCTGCCTGTTCCTCTGCTGAGCACTGGCAGTGAGGAAATCCTGCTGGCAAATATCCCTTCTTGAGCAAAATCTCCCTCCATGCCCAGATGTCGGGGGCAGTGGTGCGTGGGGCTGAGCTTGTGGCTCTCTGCTGGTACCAGGCCTCGGCAAGCCACAGAGCCCTGCACTAAAGCAGGTGCCTGGGCAGTGTGGAAAGCGGCTTTGCCAGCATGCAGGGGAGGGCTATGGGATGAAAAAAACCTCAGGATCTCATCTGTTTTAGGGCAAGATTTCTATCCTTGCTCTTTGGAGTGACTGGAAGCCACAGCTGGCTGGGCGTAAGGAAGGGTGTGTGTGCTGCCTGGCTGTGTGAAGGCCCCAGAAGCGATTTCTGGATGTCTCATGCCGGGTGCAGTCCTCAGGATGCTCCTTTGGAAGGGGGCCAGGTAGCCAAGGCCTCAAGAACATGAGCTTTGGGGAAAGGGATGGGCAAGGAAACACAGCAGAGCTCTGTGACGGCTTGGGCATGCGACGGTGGCACAAGGGAAGCCAGGACTGTCACCCAGCAGAACAGTGACCCAGGGGGGGCCCTGTCGGTGGCACCCCAGCCACCCCTGAGCACAGCCTGCCCTTGAGCAGCCGCCTCCTCCAAGGAAAACATCCCGGCTGCTGCGGCGATTGAGCAAGAGGCCGGCGGGGCGAGCGCGGCAGCGGCGTGACGCAGGCGGGCGAGGAGCTCCCGGCTCTCGCGCCGGGCTGCAGCCCCAGCTGTCCTCTCACTGTGCTCCTCTGGAAACCTGCTGTACAGCCAAGTTTTGTCTCCGAACAGCCGCGATACATTGGGAAGGTCGGGAGCACCCTCCGGCTGCCCCTCCTCCTCCTCGTTGTCCCTCATCCTCATTTTTTTTTTTTTTTTTTTTGCTTCCTCCCCTCCCCGCCATCGCCGCTTGCTGCCGCTTCTCCTCGCCTCGGAGTTACCTTCAGCAAACACCGCCGCGGCCCGCCCGAGCCAGGCGAGGCCCCGCTGCCAAATGTAGGCTTAGAGGCACAGCACAGACACAGCTCCATTAAGCCAGGCTGAGCCTTACGGGAATCGTTCCTGGCCCGGGCTTGGAAAACAAATATAGCATGTTGGTTTGCTTTGGCTGCGCCAGGGGGGTCACGCAGGGACACAGGTTTGCTGTTCTGATCGGAGGCAAGGTCCAAAGAGCGGTGTAATAGGCTGGAAAGCCGTGGAAATGGTCTGTCATTATTTACACGTCAGGGTTAGAGCCAGCGAGCGCTGCCGATGGGCTCGTGGGGACGGTGCGGGGCGGCAGGAGGCCGGGGGGTGCTCGGCTGGGGCGGGGGCAGGTGGCAGGCAGCGAGCGGCCCGATGCTGCTCCCACCCGGCCTTTACACCCACCTGGGCATCCCCAGCCAGGTATCAAGTCAAAGCATCCTAGGGCCGAATTTTAGCAGAGGTTTTGCCTCCACAAACCGGCCCCAGGTGCTCCTCCATGCCACAGGGCGAGCGTGGGGTGGGCTCGGAGGTGGAGGCTCATGCCGCGGGCTTTGCGTGCTCCCCCGGTGAGTGGTGAGCTCTGCCCCGCCTGCAAAACCTGGGCAAGGACACTTCTTCTCCTATTTTTTTTTTATCCAAGTGAGCTTTTTAAATTGCCAGATCTTCGGGATCGAGATTTTTCATCCATAAGGCATCCAGCATGTGTTGGCTATTATTTGGGTATGTTATTATGAGTCAAGTAGGCAGTAATAATTTATGTTGGAGCTGGAGCTGACCTTTGTACACGAGGGAAACCAACCTGCAAAGAGAAACAGTGACGGCATCCACCGTGTTTACTGACATTTTGGCTTTTTACTGGCAGGTTTTCAAACACCAAAATAAGGCAGTAAGTGGGTTCTCTATAAGTACGCACAGATATGTTGTAGAAACGTGATGTAGCAGCGTGGGGTTTGTTTCTGTATCGTCGTGTGTGCGTGCGTGGTTATGTAGGTACACAAATGCATGGATCAAGTTTGCAAAACTAATAGCTGAATGATTTTCTATTTGCATGTTTTCTATTTATGACCAAAAAACAACTTCCTTCTCTTTCATAACCCAACATTTCAGTTGCAAAACAAAAAAGCCATAAATCTAGATTATATATAAAAGCTTCTCATATCATCTGAAACTTATACTAGACTAAGAGGAAAAAAATACCTCAAAGTTAATTTACTCTTTTTATTGCTGTGTTTGGGGCAGGGGGAAGAAATACAGGCTAGTAACAAGATTCAGCCTTTGATTTTTGTTATTATTTTTATTTTATTTTTCCATTACACTTCTCGGTAGTTTCACCGATGGCTGCTAACCCCACCCGGGAGGTGGGTATGGGCGTGCGTACGTGCACACACATGCACACACCACCTTTGATGGTCACATCCAGCCCTGCCCAAAGCAGACAGCTCTTTGACTGTTCACTCATCACCTTATAAATGCCTTTTCCTTCACGTACTTGGCATCGGGTATGAAGCTAACCCTGGTTGCCGGTTTGCTGCTGACCCATTGTGTGAGTTAAAGCGAGATGCTTCACCCGTGAGTGCTCCTTCACCCTTTGGTTTGCTCAGGGACTGTGCTTTGTCCTGTGCAGGGGCCGTGTTTGTGTACCCGGCACGATTAATTAAACCTGGGGAGTGGCTGGAGATTCAGTCCGAAAAGAAGAGAAGTACATGTACACAGATATATATATATATACACACAAAATGCATGTATTTAATTATGACGAAAGGGAACAGTTCCCCCTTTTTCCCTCCTATAATCATTTGAAATATTCCATTAAAGAAAATCTCCCCTTTATAGCCCCCAACTTCCATTCCTTAGTCCTCAATAAAACCTACTTAGGGTTAATTTAGAGGCTTTGTTGTGAGAAAGTGAGAAGTTTTTCTCTTCCTGACCTTTTAAAAAGTTAATATTTTTAATGTTTGGTGATTTTGTGTTTAAGAAACTCTCTTTGAAGGCTAAAACTGCATTGTTCCATTCAAAAAATGTTGTAATGGGGCAGTTTCAACACTATCAAAGACATTGCCTCGCTTTGTTTCCCCCGAAACAAAATTTCATTGAACTCTATGCCTGTTTCTAAACCTGTTATTTTTAACCAGAAGGGATTTTTTTTGTTGGAGAACCACTTTTGACCTAGTATTCCTGACTGATCCTGCTCATAATTACAGCCTGGTCTTCTGGGAACTCCTGTAGCTCTATGAGGGTGGCCCAAGCCTTTTGCTGGTTGGGGGGCCACGAGCTTCAGGACCCTTTGGGATCCCCAAAGGAGCAGCGGAGGGGAGCATTGGGGGTCCTTGGGCACGTCCCCAGGCTGGGTCCCATCCTTGCCCCGAAGCGAGCCAAAATTCCCTGCACTTTGTTCTGCTGCCTTGAGTCCAAGGTGGCTCCACCACCACCGAGCATGGGGGGAGCACTGCGGCCTCTGCTCTGTGCCCGGCACGTGTGCAGGTGCACGTGTGTGCCTACATGCACGAGTACCCCTTGATTTATTATTGTATGGTTTTGCAAGACCTTAGCTTCCCTGGGTCAGCCAAGAACGTGTCCTGCTCCTGCTGTACCACAGCTCCCCGTTGGCTTGGCTCACCGGAGGGTTTTCATGTTTGCTCCTGTGGTCTCTCAAGACAAAAGCACTGGGATTTCTCCAAGCCCGGGATGTTTCTGTTTTGTTTTGCTGTAGTTTTGTGCATCGTCCTTGCAAGGTGAGCCGCCCCAGCTGACATGACATGCCTTCATCCCTCCCCTCCTGCCCCCACCCACTCCTCAGGCAGAAACCCCGCCGTCTCTCCCCGGCCCCGGGTGTCTGCAAGCCGCGGGAGCCCCTCTTGGCTGCCCCGGGCCCTCTATCACGAACGTGCTCGGAAATAGCTCCAGCAGCACCTTTCTTAAATCATGTATATTACATGCAGCCTCGATGTTCGCTGGGAGGCCACTGGAATGGCTGGGAGGGATTTACCAGGTCCAAATTCACTTGACAGAAAAACAAAATTCCAGCGTAATTTTAACCAGCTGTGGTAGGAGAGTGAAAGAGAGAGAGAGGCAACGAAGAGGAAAACTCGGTGTGCAGGGGGAGCACGAGGGAGGGAGGTGGGAGAGACGTGGGGCTGGGAACGGGCTGCGTCCGAGCGGTGTTGGCTCGGGACGAAGCGCAGCCTCGTGCTTGGGTGGCGAGGGGCACTCAGTGCACGGCTGTCACCTCTCTGGTGCCACAGGAGAGGTGCAAAGCACCAAGGGTGTGATGTAGAGCACCCAGAGCAGTGCTGGAGTTGCTCTCGTCCATCCCAACCACGGTGGCACCTCTGCTGCTGGTGCCACGCGGACGGGGTGAGGCGCTGACTCCATAGGGCAGCACCGGGTTTGCCCCGTGTTCACTGTGTCTTTGGTTCCACAGTTGAGAATGTGTACATGGAGATATAAAAAGGTTGCCTAAAAATTAAAAAATAAGAAAAAAATAAAGAGAAAAGCTCTACTTGAGTTCAATACCTAGCTTTTATTTTTCTATTCTTTGGTCTTACGGAATGAGCAGAGCGTGTCCTACCAAGACATATGGCAAACAAGTACATTTAGTTTCAGTATGACTTTAATTTTAAATTTAATTTAAATAATGTAAATATACATTTTACAGTGTAATAATACATTTTATACATATATGTGTTGTGTGCATTTTGTAGGTATAATTGGAACAATGCAATTTTAAATTAAATATAAGCTACTTTTAAGTCTAACTTTGTAAGAATGCATGTTCATGATTTCAAAAGTTAGAGAGCTCACAAAGAGAGATTTTTTCAATAACCTGAAACATTTAAGGACATTTTTATTGCATCTTATTATGTTTCCCATCCCCTCTTTCCATTTTATACTGTGTGTACCAAGCGAGTCAGACATCTGATGAATCTGGGGGCTCCTGTTTGAACCCTATTGCTATGTAATAATTTTTCCACATACATAAAACATAAGTACAGTTTCAGCCTCTTCAGCAAGCTGCAGATGAATAGCTCATTGAAGCCAGGGAGATCTCAGGCATACACAAATCTGTGCCCGTGTAGAGATTTTGCAGGATCAGGGTTATGTGTTATGATGCATAAATGTTGGTAAAAATGAGGTTTTGTAGGACATAAATAGAGGAGAACATTCACACCATTTACAAGAAAAAGCTGCAATGTTCATACTTGTAAAAATACCCAGCTGAGAGCTGTCCTGTGGGGAGGGACACCCTGCTCAATTAAGAAGAAATTTCTTGGAGATAAATGAGCTGACCATGCTGATCTTCCCCGCGTTCATTTTCCATGGAAGAATAACAAGTATTTTTATTTATTTTTAAGAAAACAGAGCACAGCATCATACCACTGTGCTTGGGCTTGATTTTTGTAAGGGCTTCTTTGTGCACTGAACTCAAGGCAGGCAAGAAATGGTGTGGTGTGGGTTGGGCCCTGCAGCAAGGGCAGGAGGCTGGAGAAATCTGCTTAATCACTGGTGCAAAAAAAAGGCTTTTGGGAGGCTGCTGTCCTACACTTTATTGGGGTGGCAGAGAGTCCTTGTTTCTCGTGGTCATCCCATACGGTGATGGTTTTCTGCTCTCCCAGCACTGTTTGGGGACGTGTGGTCTGAGACAGCTATGAGTGCCCTTCTGCAAGCGTGGTAGTTGTGCTTGATGCTTGTGGAACTTCTGAAAAACCCAGAAGATGCTGCCTGTCCCACCATGTTGCCAGAATCCCCTTGGCTATGTGCCTGCCCTCCTTTCCCTCCCAAAGCCTTGCCCTTTAGATATTGCAGTTTTCTGACGGCAGTTGTGTGAAGCTGGGTTTGGGGTATGGCATCTCCTGGAGGTGGACCCCCTGGCACAGCCCACAGGTCACCTCTGTCACTACCCTTGTGGAAACCTAACAAAAGCCTGCTGTGTGAAAGAGCAAACTCGCCAGGTGGAAGTCAACTGGTTAGGGTAGCGATAAGGCACCTTTCAGTGTTGATATTGCTTCTCGTTTGTGTATTTCTATGTTGAGTGGTTTTGGAGAGGCTGGTTCAAGAGCGGCAAGCAGTTAAAAGAGTTGTACGCATGCTCCAAATGTCATCTGGGTAAAAGTGGCACCTCCGCTTCCTGGGAGCCTAAAAGTTGCTCATTTGATGTGCTTGGAGATTTCTGGGAGAAATATTTCTGTGCTAAAGATGCCAGATCAGTGGGTGGCATTTAGCAGGCAGGCCAGCTGCCTGTTGCCCATCACTTGCTCCCCTGGCCCCTCAGTTCTCCTTGGATGCATTGTGCGGTTCCTGTCGGACCAAATGGCCAAGCCAGGCTTAATCTGATTACTTTAACCCCCAGTTCCCACAGCTGACTTTGCTTCTATCTGCTCCTTCACGGCTGGGGAAGTCGGGAGTGGATTTGGGAGGCCTAGGGAGAGCTGCGTTTTACCTAGATGTTGATTTCCCACTGATTTCCGAGGTGCCCCTTTCCTCCGTGCACGAGGCCGGCTGTCCTGAGGGCGCTGACATCACCACTGCTGGAGATGCTGCTGACTTCAGGATGATTTAGCGTGAAACGACCGGGCTTAGATGTAACATGTGTCTAAAAGGATCTGCTTCCCCGTGGGAGCTCGGAGGTGTTGATTCTCTCTGATCACTCAGTCCTGGGCTCTCACCCACGGATAATTACGTTCTTCCACGGATGATCCTGAAGGCCAAGTTCTGCTGGAGCGGGAGGACGTGCAGGTGGGCAGTGGTCAGCTCTTCACCTCGTGCTTCGTACAGCTGTTGCTGCAGCCACTCTTCGGTTTTCTATCTAGGGAGGGTTGGAGGCAGGGAAAAGAAAACCTTGACGTAACTGTCCCTCCCTTCCCCGTTCGGTAGCAGCAGTGAAATTCATGATCCGTTCCTGTTGGCGCGGAGCTACCCTTGATGGCTTCTCGTAGGAGTGCTCAGGACTTTGGCTCAGTCAAAGGGGTGCTATTAAGCAAAACACTTCGTACCTCAGCCCACAGCGATCCCTGGACTGGGAGCTGGGCTGCTATGGTGACAGTCTCCCTCGAGATGCCTAAATCAAGTAGACAGGGACACATCATCTCTGGTCTCTCAACTTTTTCCCCATTGCCCTCCCCCATCCCATCTAGCTGCATGTTCTGTGCAAGATACCTACCACTCCCAGCCGGTAATGACTTCCACATGGGGCTGGACCTTGTGGACAAATCCCCTGTAACAATAGGAAATGTTCCTTGGTCTCTCATTGTGTCTGTCTTTGGGAAGGAGGAGAAGGCGTTGACGACAAGCCGAAGAGCTCTAATATTCCTCCCGGACAGCTGATTAATTCCATCCTCTGCATCCGCTCTGGACCATCCCGCCCCACCCCGCGCCTTCTGCTTTTTATTGTTCTCTCCACCTGGCTCCCTCTGGCAGGGAAACCGATGGGATTTTGTGCCACGTGGAGCTCCGAATGGAAAACCCGGACAGCGGGAGCCTCTGCTCCCCCCGCGGACCAGGCCCGGTGGCTCCTGCTGGAGGAGGAGAGGCTGCACCTTCCTCGCAGCCAAGAGCGAGCACTGGAACGGGGACGCAGCATTCCTCCCCGGCACGTCCGCTCCCGCCTGGGAGAGACGAGACCTTGCCTTTTCCCATTCCTTCCCCCGCCATCGGGATAGCTCCTCTCTTTGCAGATAGTTGCAGGCTCGCTCTCACGCTCGGACCTTCTTCCTGCACGCGTTTGCACGTTCCTGCCTTGACATGGTCCCCTCCTGCAGGACGTGCCTGCCCTCGCCCCAAAAACGGTTTGCCCGTCGCGTGCTGCAGAGCCCCCCGTGTCCCTTCCCTCCCTGCTCGTGCCGTTTGTTCGCTCCCACACTGCTGTCACGAGGTGCTTGTGGTGGCTCCCACACCCCGCTGTGGTCACGCATGCATGCACGTTTGCACGCTCGCCTCGCACGCTTCCCCTCGCTCTTTCGCCGCGGTCTGTTTTTGTCCTGAGCATTCGCCATTCCCTCTGCAGACACACGCTCCAGCCTTGTTGCTCAGCTGTGATACATGGAAGAGGGGGAAGAGAGAGACAAGGGCATTTTGATTATGATTATGGAGTTGATTTATTAGAATAATTTTAAAACACAAAGCCATCTGTGTGCCTCTTCCCCATCCAAGATTTATAAAAGACCAAACCATCCATCTGACCCCCAGCCCTCCCTCCCCTCCTCTTCCCCCGCCTCATCCTCGCCTTCCATTCTCCTCTGTGGCTCTCTTGCCAAAACACTTGCCCATACTTAATTCTCCTCCCAGAGAGACAATGCTTTGCATTCTTGTATTGGAAGCCAAAAAAAAGACAATTCTATTCTGTCTCTGCTTTGCAGCTTGGTCTGTTAAGTTGCTTTCCCGAGAGTCTGTGTTTAAAACAAAAAAAGATAAAGGAAAAGGCAAGTTGGTGCTGAAAGGTGCTGGAACATCATCGCGTGGGGGTAACGTTTTCGTTCACTCCACATATCAAACAGCCACTGGCAGGCCGTCCCCAGGCAGAGCCAATGTGACTCCAGCTCGTTCCAAAGGGCTCACCTTTAGAGCGGAAAGACACTTTTGGACTCCGTCTCCCATCCTTCCTTTGCTCCCTTTTGAGGGCCTTGGCTCGAGCCCCAGTTTTCGAGGGTTGAGGTGTGCTGACAGATTCTCCGAGCAGGATGAGATGGTGGCAGAAGTCCAGAGCAGGAGGAGAGCCGGGGTCCGACTTTCCTGGACTCGCATTGTGACAAGCAGGAAGAGGCTCAGCCCTCCTCTTCCTTGCTGCTCCGCTCGACGCTGGCCCGACCTCCCTGGGGTGCTGACATCAGAAGAGCTGGAATGATTTATGCCTCTTGAGGATCTGCCTCTCCCTTCTGCGGCCAAGTCTTGTTACCTCTCCATGCATCCGTTTTTCCACATCTGAGATGCCTTCGGCTTCTCTGTGGTCACCGGAAAAACTAAACCAGCATCACCAGCTGGCACTCAACTAAGCCAGCACCACCAGCTGGCGCTCGAGGATTTTGCCATTATTACGCTGTTGTCCTTCTCACAGGGTTGGAAGGTGAGGAGCAGATCTAGAGCTTTGGAGCCCTTCTCTTTGGAGAAAGGAAAGCTAGAGGGAGTATTAGCATAGAGTTTGAACCAAAAGCGATCAGCTGAAGTCTGGGATTAGCTAATGCATGTTTAGCCTTTTCTTGTTTACACATCAGGGAAGCATTTTCCTCAGTTTCAGCAAATTAATTTGTAGCCAGCGTCCAGCATTCAAAATTGCAATGATGGTGGGAGAAGGTCATGGGTGACAGTGAGCCCAGTCCTGAATAGCGGTGTTTTGATTTTGATTTTATTTGTGTGTGACTGGGTACAAACAAAACCTTTCTGCATTTTGTAACCGTTCTTTTGAACTTCGTCTTTCCATATAAATCTTATTTTGATGTTGTTAGTGGTTCCCATATGAGATCTGACATTTGTTATTTGATACTGGCAGAGAAGAATGAAACCTATTAGTGAAGGCTCATGGGTTCAACAGGATCCTAGGGAATAAGAGCAGGGGTTGTGAAAAGACCTGAGGATTTAGTGTCACTGTCATCCACTCGAGTTCTTGAATCTCTTTACCGACCCCTCTCTGTCCAAAGAATTGTCTGTCTTCGGTTTCTCTGGTTCCAGGTGTGTATTCATTGAAGTTGATGACTTATCCACTTTGTTGTGCACTAAATCACCTAAGTGCTGAGTGTCTTCCAGGACCTCTTCACAATCCCCTTATGTCTGCTTAGAAGAGATAGGCATAACTGCATGCGTTTCTTCTGGAAAGAAAGCAAAAAGGAGCTTTGCTTAGAGCACAGAACTGCTGTGACTTTGTGTGGCACCTCTTTGGACTGAGGTTCCTCTCTTTCCTCTTCAGGAAGGAGATCTTGTAGAGGGAAAACACTGCTCAGCTGGGCTAAAATCAATCAGGACTCCTAGGAAAGTCCTAGAAAGGGCTGGAAGGGATGATCTTCCAGGGACAGAGCAGAGTAACCCTGCTTACACCAGCCCTGACAAGGGCCTTCCCAGAGCATCCACACCTGCGCTGAAATACCGGGCCACAAAAGCTTTGTCCTTCCTTTTGCTGCAGAGTAATCCTCCTTCTTCTTGTCCAGCAGACTTGGAGAACAGTTCATCCTTTTCTTCTTTGGTACAACATATTAAATATTTGAAGACTATTTTAATATCTTTGCTCTTCTCCTCTCTAGCCTAAACAACCACCGTCCTTTCAGTATCTCTTTGCAGGTTGCACTGGACCATGGCCATTTGTCCTGCTCTGGTCAGACCGTGCTTTCCTTGCAGCCCCATTTTTCTCGCAGTGCGATGCCTGCAACCAGGCATGGGGCTCTTGCCAAGACTTCAGCAGCCTTAAGCAAAGGGGAAGGAGGATTTGTGCCTCAGCAATGATCTTCCAGCTTATGCATCCCAAGGCAAGAGTGAAGGCAGTAAACAGCCGCATCTCCCAGGCTCTTCTCCTCGGCTTGGCATGCAAAGATCCCCGGTTGCTCTAATGGAGACCAAAGAGAGTGAATTTCTGGCCCATGCTCCAGACGTGCTCAGCTTCTCCTTCTTAATTTCCTTGAACTTCTCTTCTCGTGCTCAAAACAGCCTCCTTGTCCCACCCGAGAGGCAGCTGTGCCTGGGGCTGCCCGTGGTCTCCTCGCTGAGGCTGTGGCTCCCGGAGGACACCGAGCTCAGGTCTGGCCAGGGGTGGTGTTGTGCCACGCCATCGCCCCATCCTCCTTCATGCTTCGCAGTCTGGTGCAGAGATGCCTTTTCTCCTTGTTTTGTTTTATTTTCTTTCTTTCCGCTCTTTTTTTCCCATTTTTTTCTTTCCATTGGTTGTTTGGATTAAGGGGCCTTAAAGGGGCCAGACATTTTTTGTGTTCACTCATACCCTATAAATAACCGGCACCTCTCCAGTGCTCGCGCTCCACCCTTCAGTTACAGATTCCACTGTCTAGCTGCCACCACTCTGCATGGCCTTTCACACTCTTCCTTTCTATTTAATATGGAAATGTTAGTAAAAAAAATAATAATAGAACAACAACAAAACCCTTGCTGTCACAAATTCTCCAAGGGGAGGGGGAGGAGGAGAGAGGTGGGAGGCGGGGAGGGGAGGACACAACCAGCCAAAAAAAGTATCCAAAGGAATGTTCTTCTCCCTCCCAGGTTTACAGCAATGCCTTTCCATCCAGAGTCATCTGTTTTGTTTTCCTTCTCCCTCAGCCTGAAAGTGCTGCAGCATTATCATGTAATGTTGCTTAATGTGACCAAAGGCTTCAGCAAGTCGCCCCACGGACCGCAAGCATAGCCCAAATTCCAAGGCAGCGCTGCCTGTGGCGTCTCGTTAAAGCGTAGGACTTGCAGCCCTCTGTGTGTCCCATGAACCGTTGTTTGGGGTTTTGTTTTTCCCTTTTTTCTTCCTTTCCTCCCCCTATTTTTTTCAACAGCATGCCGCCACCCCAAGTGTCGGGCAGGGATTTTGTAACCGCACCGGCAGGCGTATCTGGGAGGTATGCGTGGAATCCTTCAAGTGCTTGGTCAGTCCTTTGTGGTTTCCTTTGAGCAGCTGCCCACCCTGCCAGCTCCCACCACCCCTTCCCAAGCCCCCTGACATGCAACCGGTTGCGCCATCCTTGCAGGAGTTTCACATGACAGTTGTCTCCTCGGGGCGTTGGTCAGACAGCAAAGCTGAGGCAGTGCCGGCTTTTTTTTTCTGTTCTTCCTCCCAACACGTTTCCTGATGCTAGTGAAGGATCACAGTGGTAGCCCTGAAGGCTGGAGTCATCTGTTGAACCACAGAGCAGGTACAGATACAAGACAAGCTCTTACCTACCGAGGGTCCCAATCCAATTTAGGGAGGGAGATTTAAGCTTCTCTCAGTGCTAGGTTTTTAAGATTTAGACAGAGGGAAATGGAATGTTCTAGCAGATCAACATGTGAGTTTTTGCTCCACCTGAGATGTTATTCCATCATTATTTTCTAGTGTTTGATGAATTATTTTCTCACCGTCTCTGGGACGGGGTATTGTTGTTATTCCCATTTGGAGAAGGTATAGATGATGCACACAGCCCTGAAGGGTTGCTCAAGGACCAATAGTTTCCTGGGCTTTCCAGCCTAGTTGGTGCCCACAGCCAGGGCAATGAGCTCCTAGCCCGTGGGTGCCAGCACCCAGTTACCACCACGTACCAATGTCCATGTGGCGCTGATGGGTTGTGCTGGCTGCAATTGTGCCCAGTCTAATTGAAACGACTTGGCTGGAAACGTGGGTCTGGGATGGTGTCTCGCACTCCCCCTTCCTGAAGTTCAGTTTCCATCCATATTTCAGTTGCACTTTACCATGTATACTGTAGAATAGTCTAGATATGAGTCTGGTTGTTTCAACAATAAATTGGCTGTATCTGTAGGCCTGGACGTGTTATCTCATTAACTTCATCTGCTGACCTGCAGAGTCATGCATTCATTTAGGTTGGAAAATACCTTCAAGACCACCAAGTCCTGTCACTAAACCATGTCCCTTGCATGTCCAAAGCCACGCAGTAGGCAGTAGAGCTGCACAGGTTTCCTCTGTGGAAATCCTTCTCACTCGTCTTCATCAACCCTGTCTGGGTGTGAGGAATCACCATCAGGAGATACCTCAACCTTCCTGCTGGCTGAAGGAAGAACCCAGCCAGATGCCTGCCTTGGAGAGGCGGACGTAAAGCCAGCTGAAGGGATTTGCCTGGCAGCCGATGTGTGCCCAGCTTTCTGCTCAAACACCATGCCAACATGGGTTACCTGCCCAGCCAGCAGCAGCGTGTGGTGCCTGTTGCCATTTGTGATTCAATAAATTAATAGAAGAGAAACCCCAGAGCACTGAAACGAGCAGGGCAGCAGGCCTTTTTATCCAGAATAGGTCATAATGAGCCAAGAAGCTTCTATATAGCTTTGTTGCTGGGTTGTATTGTTTCCTTCTATCTGTTTTTCCATTATAAGCTGCCCCACAGAAATCTCTGGAGCCCCCCAGCACATTTCAGCAGGAGGTGAGTGAAGTCCTTTCGTTCAGGCACTTCTCCACGCAGCAAGGTGGCTGTGGTGGTCTTGCAGTGCCCCCTTCGAGTGCCAGCATCATCTGTAGCCCCTGCATGGCCCTCTGCCCTCGCTGTGCCTCGACTGCAGTCATGATTAATGCATTGGTTGCCTCTCCCGAGCATCTGGGGAGCAGGCAGCAATGTTTTTTCATCCCTGAGCAAGAAGCAGAGGAGCCTTTTGGCTGGGACATGCTCCCCTGCCCTTTGGGAGGGATGTGACCATGGCACGATCCGGTGCTGGAGCTGTGAGGGGCTGGGGCATCTCAGGGAAACCAGGAGAAGCCGAACTGCCTCTCTGTGACAGCAGGCTGGGCAGTGACAGGGCCTTGTCACATCGCCAGTTTGAATATGATTTCTGCTGGGTGACAAAGCCATGTCCTTAATGCACTGGCCGGTCTGCCAGATGCCCAGTCCTTGCGCTGAACAACAGGGCCACTGGGGCTTTGTGACTGAAGTTGTAAGTTGGTTTGGGTTTTTGTCCTTTTTTTTTTTTTTTTTTTCTTAATATAAGGAAGACTATATTTTTCCCGAGCTGCCTTCTTGGAATTGCCTGGACTTGTTTTATCCGAAACTTTCCAAAAAAAATTCAGCCTGAGGCAGATACCCAGTGTGGAAAATTTCAGCCCAAACGCTTCCAGTTTAGCGGCGTTGCGGGAGCAGAACGTACGGGCCGTCAATGGAGAGCGCCGGGCCGGGCCGGTGTGGGCTTCAGGGCCCACACAGCTGAGCTCAGGGTGCTCAGGGGCTGACCACGGGCACAGGAGAGGATCTGCCCTCCTTCAGAGGGATAGAAATGTCTGTGCTGTGTGATGGGAGCCCGTGAGCTAACCATGAAGGCACTGTTTGTGGTGGGACCTGCCCCAGCACCTCGAGGTGCCGCAGGGAGGTGAGCGAGGCCGCACCTCGCCATCACCAGGCTGTGTGTGGCCGGGGTGGTCAGCATGATGGATGGGTGGCTTGAATGAGGAGAGAAATCCTCTCTGATCCCTCTTAGAAAACTCAGGTTGACGCCAGATGCTAGCTAATGGCATTAACCCTTTAGAGCTCACATCTGAGATGTAGGTCCTGGTTGTACCCATACACATGCTGTGCTGGAGGGAGGCTTCTAGCATCAGCACCAGTTCACTCAGTGGAGAGCAATTGCTTTTTGTTCCCCTCATGCCATCAGCATAAAACAGAGCCTTGTTTTTGGTAACGGCTGGAGGCCGAGGAGGCAGCAGAACAGGGCAGGCACTGTGGGGACAAGTGCTGTGGAGCCCTGCTTCTAGAAACCGTGTAAAACTCCAGCTCTCTGAGCCCTGAGCCTCCTCTCATTCCACTGGTATTGCTGGGAGGAGTTTGTGAGCCTGGGGCTGTCACTCCTGCACAGTGTCCTGTGTCACCTCCCTGGTGGCCACAAGGCGTGCTGTCAGCCACCCGCGTGGGGACGGCCACACATGCTCATGCAGGATAATGTGCTACCGACAGACAACCTGAGTGCTGACTTCTCCTAATTAATCTTTCTTTCCCACCTCTCTTCATCTGTATTTTCTTCCCCAAAGTGTGGCAGAAAACATCAGACGCTGTCAAATGTGTTCCACACGCAGGGTGACATCAGCTTGGGTCCTTTGGGATGGTGCGTTACAGTCCTGCTATGTTGTTAGGCCCAGTTTACATTAAAAGTGGCTTTTGGAAATAAGTAAGTAATAACTTGCTAAATTGGGGCCTGAACTGCTCAGTTTAACAAATTATGACTTTGTTTTTATTTATTATTACGTGTATTATTTTAAGAATATGTTTAAAGGGAAGCCTAGTTTAATGAAAAATGGCCAGGTTCGATCAGGCAGCACGCTAATTCCAGCTGGGTGTCACCACCATCTTCATCGTCATGGTTTAGTCATGTCCTTCTTTACATGCTAATTAGGCTGATGTGTCAGTAAGTGTTATAAGTGCAAACTTGGGCTGTGTTTGTTTTTTTGCTTTTGCAGTGTTGCTTTTGCAACATTTGTTTAGTTTTCATTCAATGCATAAAATATGAAGGGAACAAAAAACTCATGCGCATTGTATCATGTAATTAGACAAGTAAGCAGATGTTAATTAATATATGAATATCGTTTTTATTTCCAATCGTCTGGCTGTGGTTTGAGCAAACCTATGTCCCCCAGCTGTTGCTACACGAGACACAGTCAGAGCAAAAACAGAGCTCGAATTCAGCTGCTCTATTCCCAGAGCACAGACTATTACCCGAGCTGAAAGAGGAGACGCTTTTAGGATGTGCTGTCCCCAGACGTGACACAGCAGTGTGGCATTCTCCTTCTATCCAGTGGAGGGCAACAGGGGACACGATTACAGCCACGCACCTTCCGACCAGTCTGGGGAACCAGCAGGGCTGGGGCTTTGGAGCCCCGTGGAAATGCATCCAAGGCTTTCCTCTTGGACTCCTCTGTCAGATGGGGTTTCTGCTAGCAGACGTGGATCACTTGTACACCAGCTCTGTGGCAGTCTTGGAGGAGAAACTGGAGGTTTTCAGACCTCACCTGGATAAAGCCCTGAGCAACCTGTGCTGGCTTTGAAGTTGGCCCTGCTTTGTAGAGGAGCTGGGGCTGGGGGCTCTGTGAGCCTCTCTGCAGTGCAGGTCCTGGGCCACCACAGTCAGCCTTTTGCTACCAAACGATTTTATTCTTTATTTCATCTGGAAGATGCTTGCTAAATGGATCCAAAACTTTCCTTTTTCCCAGCTCTCAGCCAGCGATAGCACGTGGTTGTGTTGTGATCAGCCACTGCATCCAAGCGTTTCTCCTCCTTTGCTTCTATGTGAAGAGCTTCCTGGTAACAAAAGAACGGTCCTAACATCCATCTTCAAGCTAATTTGCATTTTTAAATATTAACATTCATTCCACTTGTATTACTGTAGTCTTCAAGATCTTTCAATTTCTCTTGGCTGATACTCTGATCTCTTGTGCACCAATAATGCGTTCCACTTCATCGGTGCTAAAACCACTGTTGTATTTCCAGTGAGAAATAAGATTGATTACAAGCCTGATCATTGAGGAACTTCTGCTCATTATAACTCAGTTCCCATCACTCTCGTTCCAGCAGAGCCTGTTTTCATTTGCCCACTACTCAGTTCCTTACCTGCTGCATAATTCTTCTGTTAATTCCCATCTTTCCAAGCTTACCTAATAACTACCCATGTCATGTCATGGCTAGTGCCTCTTGATACCCAGATAAATTAGATCATGCCACACTTCTTGTGTCTGGGGAATGAACTGTCTCACTGAAGAAATACATAAGGTTTGTCTCACACAATTTACTAAACCTGGCTTTGCAGTTTATTCTGCTTGTCTCTGTGTCATTAATGATTCCTTCCTGAGAAAGAAAAAAAAAAGATCTATAATGAGATCATTTTCTCTCTCGAAGCTACACCTGTGCCTTGAGTATCAGCATGGAAGGCTGAGCTCTTCAACCTCTTTGCCCTACCACGTGGTCTGGAGGTGCATTGACTTTCTCAGGGCATCCTGTCTTCTGCTAAGTCAACACAAAAGCCCATGACTTTCTCTAAATTGCTTGTGAACTCCCTGACACTCTCTCTTTTTCTCTGTTTTTCCTTCTTCCCCCCCTCCCTGCCAGAAGCTGGCATGAGGAGAATAACAGTGCAATCTCCCACATTGCTGTGGTCTGAGCAGGTTTCCCCTCACATTATGTCTAAATAAATATTAATAAGAAAAATGGAATAAGA